GAAGAAGAAGAAGAAGAAGAAGGAGAAGGAGGAGTAAACTAACACAGTTTAGAAAACCTGCTCCTCCAATGTATGAGTAACATTTTAAATTAAATGTGTTTTTTTTAATGTAAAAAAGTTATTGATTGTGATGATTGTTAAAGGTGAAGACTAAAGATAAAGTCCAACTCTGCTGAACTGTTGACGTGAAGTGAGAAGCAGAGCAGGCCACGTGTCAGACACAGGTGTGAAGACAACGAGAAGGAAAAGCTGAGAAACCAGTCCTGCTGTCTGGTACAGGAACAAGGTGTTTGACTGAGCTGTAAACACCGAAGAACAAACACTGAGTGAAACAACGCTGCACACCAGCACCAGGACCAGCACCAGCACCAGGACCGCTTCACACCAGAAACTGTGTGAGACCAGTGGACAAACTTTAAAATCAGTCCCCAAGACTGTTTTTAAAATGACGGTTAAAATGTCTTAAAGAGCCTCAAACATATCCATGGTACCAGTAACCAGTAACCATCAACACTCTGGTTACTCGTGTTTCCTCGTAGCTGCAGAACAACACCATCAACTGCTGAAACAGTTTGATCTGAGCGTGAACGTACACATCTAGACCATAAACTACCAGGTCATCCTGGACTCACGTGGGTTGTTGGTTGGATTCCTGTGGTAACTGATGCTCTGACTCTGTAGAAGATTACTCTGTTAGAAAGACGACCGAGGGGGTCAAAGGTCGTGGGCCAGAGGGCAATAAGGAGGCTGGGGGTCAGTTGACTTCAGAGAGAGACTCTGCAGCAGGGATTAACAGGAAAAACTGAGAGAAAAACCATCCAGGCTGTGTTGGAGTTCAGGACAGAAAAATGGAAGTTTAAAAGTCAAGTTCAAAAAAGAGAAACGGGAACGAAAATCGATTGCACTTGAAATTATTGTTATTATCATTATCATTATTATTATTGTCTTTATTACTGTTATTATCATTTTTATTTTTGTTATTATTGTCTTTATTACTGTTATTACCATCATTATTATTGTGTTTATTACTGTTATTATCATTATTATTATTATTGTTATGATTGTCTTTATTACTGTTATTATTATCATTATTATTATTATCATTGTCTTTATTACTGTTATTATCATTTTTATTTTTGTTATTATTGTCTTTATTACTGTTATTACCATCATTATTATTGTGTTTATTACTGTTATTATCATCATTATTATTATTGTTATGATTGTCTTTATTACTGTTATTATTATCATTATTATTATTATCATTGTCTTTATTACTGTTATTATCATCATTTTTATTTTTGTTATTATTGTCTTTATTACTGTTATTACCATCATTATTATTGTGTTTATTACTGTTATTATCATCATTATTATTATTGTTATGATTGTCTTTATTACTGTTATTATTATCATTATTATTATTATTGTTATGATTGTCTTTATTACTGTTATTATCATTATTATTATTATTGTTATGATTGTCTTTATTACTGTTATTATCATCATTTTTATTTTTGTTATTATTGTCTTTATTACTGTTATTATCATTTTTATTTTTGTATTATTGTCTTTATTACTGTTATTATTATCATTATTATTATTATTGTTATGATTGTCTTTATTACTGTTATTATTATCATTATTATTATTATTGTTATGATTGTCTTTATTACTGTTATTATTATCATTATTATTATTATTGTTATGATTGTCTTTATTACTGTTATTATCATCATTATTATTATTGTGTTTATTGTCTTTATTACTGTTATTATCATCATTATTATTGTGTTTATTACTGTTATTATCATTATTATTATTATTGTTATCGTTGTCTTTATTACTGTTATTATCATCATTATTATTATT